AGCGTGTAGAGGTGTGAGATTGCGTGTGGTGGGATCGGGGGGCTTGTGCAAAGGGTTTCGAAGGTGGAGAGTGTTCGTGTTGCCGATTTCAGTTCGGGCATGTGCGTCAGGAATTTTGTAAGTTGGTGGTATCTGAAGCGGAGTGGCCAGTCGTGCGCGGTATCTGGGACCAGGTCTCTCAGAGGGGTGATCTTGCCTTGTTTGTATATGTCCTTTAGTCTGCATGGGTATGGCAGCCCTAGGGTTGTGACATAGCGAGGTTCCATCGCCGGGGGGAATTTAGGGTTGTGGGAGATAGGGCAGAGGGGAGATAGCTCCGGTGCCATGTCCCTGTGTGGCGCTAAGCTTCTCCAGACCGTCAGAGTAGCGTTTAGGGTTGGGTGTTGTCATGGTAGTTCGCTGGTCATAGCTTTTGGTAGCCAAGGGAGAAGAGATAGGGGGATTTGTGAGAAGCTTGCCTCTATCGGGATCCAAAGTTTGTTTTCCGGGTTGTGTGTCCATTCAATCAGGCGCTGGAGATGGACGGCTCGCCGATATTTGGTCAGATCAGGTAGACCCAGTCCCCCGTGGTGTTTGGGTCTCGTGAGAGTGGCGAAGTTCAATCTCGCCCTCTTGCGATGCCACACGCACTCTGTCAGTATCTGTCGGGCTTGTGTGAAGAAGGTGGTGGGGATGTGTATGGGTAGGGTTTGCAAGAGGTACAGGAGTCGTGGGAGTATGTTCATCTTGAGTACGCTGATCCTCCCCAGCCATGTGATGTGTGGTAGCTGCCATGCGTTCAGGTCTTTTTTAATCTGGTCAAGAAGGGGTGGGAAGTTGATTCGGAAAATGGCTGTGAGGTCTGCCGACAGCCAGATCCCTAGGTATTTGATTGCTTCTGTGCACCAGTGGAAAGGGAAGTCATTTTGTAGTTGATTCACCAGCGGTTGGGGGCAGCCCACATTGAGGATTTCCGATTTGGTGAAGTTGATTTTTAGATTTGACAGTACGCCGTAAGTGTCAAATTGATGCATTAATTCTCTGAGGGAGGATGCTGGGTCGGTGATGGTAAACAGGAGGTCGTCCGCGTATGCCGCAACCTTGCTGACTCCCCATCCGCCTCCGACCCCTGCGATGTTGGATTGGTTTCTGATGGCATTTAGGAACGGCTCCAAGCTGAGGACAAAGAGCAGGGGCGATAGTGGGCAGCCCTGCCTCGTGCCATTTCTTATTTCGAATGGGTCCGAGAGAATTCCGTTTACTTGTACTCGGGCAGCTGGGTTGGTGTATAGGGCTGATATCCGGGCCAGCATGTGCGGTCCCATCCCAAGGTGCTCTAGGGTGGAGAATAAGAAGGACCAGTCCACCCTGTCAAACGCCTTTTCGGCGTCTGTCGAGACCAGCAGGGCGGGCTTGTGTCCTCGTCCAGCTGCATGTATTAGGTTGAGTGCCTTGACGGTATTGTCTCTGGCCTCTCTTCCCTCCACAAATCCCACTTGGTCAGGGTGGATGAGGTCCGGTAGTAAGGGTTGGAGGCGGAGTGCCAGAATCTTGGTGAGCAGCTTGAGGTCAGTGTTCAGCAGGGATATTGGTCGGTAGCTGGTGCATGAGGACGGGTCTTTTCCTTCCTTCGGTATCACCACGATATGGGCCAGGAGCGTGTTGGAATCCAGTGGGTTCCCCTTGTGGATGGAGTTAAACAGGGTTAGCAGGTGTGGAGTGAGAGCGTCTGCGAACGTCTTATAGTATTTTGCCGTGTATCCGTCTGGTCCTGGGCTCTTCCCCTGTTTGGCCAGTTTGATTGCTAGATGTATTTCTTCGGCGGTGATGTCTTCCTCCAGTGCGGTTACGGCCCGGGACGGGGCGGGAGCTTGGAAGTCAGGTTCTGCGCTATATATTCTTTCTGACGAGCTATAAAGGTTGCTTCTGTGGAGTTCGTTCGCGAGGTGTGTAGGGTAAGCAATATAGGGAGGAGTAGTATTGTCGGAAGCCGTCTGCGATGGTTTTGGGTGTGAGCATGTGTTTCCCTGCTGCTGTGATCTTTTGGACGTGGCATTTTTGTCTGCGCGCTCTCAGTGCTCTGGCTAATAATTTGCCACTTTTGTTTCCGAATTTGTAGAATTTTTTTTTTGCGAGTTGGAACTGGAATTGGATCTTTGATTGTAACTGAGAGTTGAGTTTCGCTCTAGTCTAAAGTAGTTGTTTATAGGTGGCGTCATGGAGGGTGTGTTTGTGTTTTGCTTCCAGTTGGGCTACCTGGGTGACAAGGTGTGCAATTTCTTGTGTACGTTGTTTTTTCAGGCGGGTGCCATGTTTGATAAGGATCCCTCTGACGACGCATTTATGCGCCTCCCATATTGTAGGTTGCGTGGAGTCAGGTGTCTTGTTGGTGAGGAAGAAGTGCTCTAGAGTGGAACGTACGTCTGTTTGGATTAGTGGGTCTTCCAGGAGCGATTCATTTAATTTCCACGTCCATTGCGGTTTCAAGGGCTTGGGGTGTTCTATGGTGATGATTACTGGTGCGTGGTCTGACCAGGTCATAGGCGCTATCTGGGCTGCTAGCAGCGTGTCTAGGTCTCTATGTTGGGTGAAAAAATAATCTATCCTTGAGTAGGATCTATGTGATGTTACCAGTTTGTACACAATTATAGAGTACTGTATAGGAATTGAAGCAGTGGAATGAAGTCTCTGTCTGTGTGGTGTAGGATGCGCCAGGTGTCTGTAAATTGGTGATTTGAGAGGAGAGTCCTCATTCCTCTGAGGATGTGATCTGGTATCGTAGATGCGCCTTTGGACGTGTCCATTTTGGGGTCTAGGGGGGCATTGAAGTCTCCTCCAATTATGATTGTGCCTTCACTGAATTCTTCTAGGGTTCTGAGGGCAGAGGCCAGAAACGGTTTCTGGCCTTTGTTTGTGAGGTACAGGTTCGCAAACGTGAGTGTGGAGTTGCCTATTTTCCCCTTAATAAAGAGCTATCTGCCCTCCGTGTCTCTTACTTCTGCTTCCAGGTGGAACTGGATGTTTGCTGAGAATAGTATGGCTACTCCCTTAGATTTAGTCGAGGGGTTGTGCGCGAAGTGGCCGTTGGGGTAGTGTTTGTTGGAGAACTTCGGGGCCTGGGGTGCGTGAAAATGGGTTTCCTGGAAGAAGGCTATCGACACCCCCAGTGCTCTGAGTTCCCGTAATGCTCTGGCCCGTTTATGAAGGGAGTTGAGGCCTCTCGCGTTGATCGTGTAGAGTTTGAGGTGGTCCCAGTTGAGTCTGCCCGCGTAGGGAGCACAGGGCGGGCCCATGTTGTGGGGGTCGCCCCCGGGTTGGGCCGGTTGGTGGACCGGGGCGGGCGAGGGTAAGGGGGGGTGTAGGTGGGTGTAGAGGAGAGGGGAGGGAAGGGTCTACGAGGGAGGGAGAGGGTGGGAGGAGGGGTGTTAGGTAGTCGAGTGCGTGCAGTAGGGCAACGATTTTAGGTGTTTGTAGCTCGTCGGGGTAATAGTAGTAAGGGGCAATGTGCCGCTGGTAGGTAGCAGTCTAGGGGTGTTGTTTCCCGTAGCTACCTAGCAGGTCGTTTGCAGTGTACCTGTGGGGTTGGTGGCGCCGGTGAGGGGGTAGGTCACCCGTCCGTGACTGTGTCGCCGGGCGGTGTATCAAGTCCAGTTCTCATCCGGCCTCCGCCGCCCCAGAGTGTTAGGGTGTAGGGCGATGTGGCACCCATCTGAGGGTAGGTCGTGTGTTTAATCTAAGGTGCATGCGAGCGGGTTTCAGTGGTGGTCCTTGTATGGTTCGTATCGTATGATACGGATGATGAGGGTGGGTTAGGGCCTATGGGAGAACAACTTGCAGGTTATGAACACGCAGTGATCAACATTATATAACAGAACATTTGTAACATTCAAAAACAATTCAATTCAATTCAATTCAACCAGTTCGTACAGTTTGAGTATGCCCTTATGAGGTGGGGGTCATCCAGTGTTAATCGTCCTGAGATTGCGTTTTGTGGGTCACTCAGGGTCTTACGGTGCTCGGTCAAGTCGGGGGGGAGGAGGGTGGGGCGGGGAGGACTCGTATGTGAGCTCAGCCTCGTCTCCAGCTGTCTCTTCCAAGGGGAGATTTGGCTTTCCGTATAGTCATGTGAGAGTCATTGTGTGTCAGGCCTCGTCCGTTGTCGCCATAAGGTGGCAGTTGGTGTGGTCGTTCAGTAAGACTAATCGGTAGGGATCATGGATGATCAGTTCGGGAATGCTTATCTGTCCGTCGTGTGAGCAGTCGGCTGTCGTTTGTCAGAATCTAGTGATGTTACAGTCTTCCAAGGGATTCCTCAAGTCGTGGTCAGTCTGCTCTGATAGCTAATAGTCCTTGTGTTATGTGATAGGTATATTTTGTGTTCCGGTAGTTGGGGGGGCGCCTAACTGTTATGGACATAATCCTGATTTAGCCTTACAGTCATTGCTCGGTACAATACCAGTGTCCCTATCGTCCGTGTCACTGTCTTGTCTCCTGTGTGTGATGTGCAGGTACGTGACGTGGTGTCTATCCGTCGTGTTTGCGTTTACATTTCAATACCCACAGATTACATAGGGGAACACAGATGAGTAGCTTTGACTTCGATGTGGAATAGCCTATATTTAGCACTGCGGGCTCTGCCGCATCCAGTGCCTGTGTATTAGTGTCTGTGTCGTGGTGGTTGTACTCATGAGTGGTAAATGTCTGTATGTTGTGTATGCTGTCTATCTGTGGTGTGGGAACAGCAGAGCAGAGACACCGAGTTTGAACCTCGGTAGCAGATTGCGAGTCTCCCTGGTGTTTGCGGCTTCTGTATGTTGCCTTTGGATGGTGTGTGGCTGTGTGGCGTGCTAATGTAAGTGGGAGAGTGCCCCATGTGTTGGGGTTGTTCTTGCGTCACCGTGAGTGTTATTTTATGTAAAGCGTGTGGTTGGTGTAGAGTCTTGGGGGGTTGCGACCCCTGGCATAGTACTTGCGCTTTTGAGTTCTCTCTTCTTCTGGGGGGAGTCCATTGTGTGGCAGTGTTAGGCCACGTATCGGTTGCCAGTGGGGGTTCTCAGACAGTGTTGGTTCCTTCTCGCTGGGAGTTCACGTTCTCTGGTCGTGTAGGGGTGAACATTTATGTTGTACGAGTGTCCTGGGCCTGTTGGGTGGCTAGTGTAGTTGTCCATGACTTTGTTTCTTCCGGTCGTGCTTCGTCGTTCCCTGAAAGAGTGAGGAGAGAAAAAAAAAAAAAAAAAGGGGGGGGGTGCCCTGTGATCCCAGTAAAAATGTTAGCGTAAAATCTTCAGTGATTTCTCAGGCAAAAGGGGTAGGTTTATTCCTCTGGGTTCGCTTGCTGTAGAGAGGTAAATTCGGCGTTTGGTCCCTGCTGGATGTGGCGGCGGGTTGGTCGCCCTGTGAAGCGCTCATTTATCGGGCAATTAGTCCAGTCTGCGATGGGCATTTGTGGGAGGCCGAGGGCTTCTTGGAAGGCTTGTACGTCCTGCGGTGATCTTATCGTGGCTTCGGTGTCGTCTCGCCAGGCTGTTAGGGCAAATGGGAATTGCCAGCGGTAGCGTATTTGGGCCTCCTGCATGGCGGTGGTAAGGGGCCGCAGCGCTCTTCGGGCCTACTTCCTTCAACCATTAGTTAAATCCTGCCACTCCTACCTTCGAGATTCCAGGAGTCTTTTAAAACTTTTAAAAAGACAGAATTGGGAAGAGGGATTTTTTTAATTACATGTGATGTTACCAGTTTGTACACAATTATAGAGTACTGTATAGGAATTGAAGCAGTGGAATTTTATTTAAAACAATCCAAAGAGCTATAAGATGTGCAAATTGATTTTATTATTAAAGGATTTAAGATGATTTTAACCAATAATTACTTTTGCTTTGAAGGTGACTTTTATCTCCAGATTCGAGGCACTACTATGGGGACCAGGTTTGCTCCCAGCTACGCCAATCTCTTTATGTCATACTGGAAAAGATTATTTATTTACAAGGGACATAGCTGTGGAGCAAACTTGGCCCTATACAAGTGATACATAGATATTTTTTTTATTGTCTGGAAAGGTTCTGAGGAAGAATTTAATTTATTTTTTAATCATCTTAATTCAAATGACTGGGGATCAAATTAACAAAAAAATATGAGTCCTATTACTATCAACCGTTTAGATCTCATTTTTTATATTTCAGAGAATAAGTTAAAAGGTTTTTATCACTGTGGCAACTGCAACGCCTGGAAAAACATCCATTTTATTAAATGAACACTATAGTACCCTAAATTACTTTAGCTAAATAAAGCAGTTTTAGTGTATAGATCATTCTGATGCAATTTCACTGCTAAATTCACTGTCATTTAGGAGTTAAATTGCTTTGTTTCTGTGTATGCAGCCATAGCCACATCCTCCCCTGGCTATGATTGACAGAGCCTGCATGAAAAAAAAATGGTTTCACTTTCAAACAGATATAATTTACCTTAAATAATTGTATCTCCTCATACAGGAGGCTCTTGCAGGGTCTAGCAAGCTATTAACATAGCAGGGGATAAGAAAATCTTAAAGGACCACTATAGTGCCAGGAAAACATACTCGTTTTCCTGGCACTATAGTGCCCTGAGGGTGCCCCCACCCTCAGGGACCCCCTCCCGCCGGGCTGGATGGAGAGGAAGGGGTTAAATCTTACCTTTCTCCAGCGCCAGGCGGGAGCCTCCTCTCTGCCTCTTCTTCTCCTCTTCGGCTGTGCGAAGGAGCTGTGCGCGCATTCAGCCAGTCTCATAGGAAATCCATAATGCTTTCCTATGGACGCTTGCGTCTTCTCACTGTGATTTTCACAGTGAGAAGCACGCAAATGCCTCTAGCAGCTGTCAATGAGCCACTAGAGGCTTTAGAGGCTTTAGAGGATTAACTTAACCTAAACATAGCAGCAGTTAAAATGGGTTAACCCTAGCTGGACCAGGCACCCAGACCACTTCATTAAGCTGAAGTGATCTGGGTGCCTAGAGTGGTCCTTTAATTAAACAGAACTTGCAATAAAGAAAGCCTAAATAGGGCTCTCTATACAGGAAGTGTTTATGGAAAGCTGTGCAAGTCACATGCAGGGAGGTGTGACTAGGGTTCATAAACAAAGGGATTTAACTCCTAAATGGCAGAGGATTGAGCAGTGAGGCTGCAGGGGCATGTTCTATACACCAAAACTGCTTCATTAAGCTAAAGTTGTTCAGGTGACTATAGTGTCCCTTATCTCCAGTTATATTCGTTGTATATAAGTGTTGTTTAGTGACTAAACACGTGGTTTTATTTCCTACATTGTATTAGATTTTAGCACCACCTTTCCTTTGTTTTTTTAAGCTCTAAAAGTAAAATAAGAGCAGGGACCCATATAATAGGACCCAATTGCCGGTGACTGGGCCATGGAACTCTTGGCATCATTACCACAACAGCTGCACTGGGTTTTATTTCCTACATTGTATTAGATTTTAGCGCCACCTTTTCTTAGTTTTTTTTAGCTCTAAAAGGGAGCTAAGAGCAGGGCTCATATAATAGGACCCAATTGCCGGTGACCTGGCACCCAAACCACTTCATTGAGCTGAAGTGGTCTGGGTGACCATAGTGTCCCTTTAAATAGTGCATAAAAGACTGATACCTCAAAAAAACTAATTGTACAAATAAATTCACCATCTCCTGTATGGGCTTAACTTTTAAATGTAAATGTTTTATTGCGTACTCTAAGCACCATGTTAATGCAAAATACATTACATAATTTGTAAAGATATCCTCTTGTTCCTTACAATAATAATAAACAAAGTATTTAACCAGAAAAAGTACATTCAGATAACTCTTGTTTTTAAATACATCCAGGGGTTGTTACTATTAACCTATTTAATTATACTCATTTTATCAACTTCAGAAGGATGAAGGGCTGAGTCATACCTGGTGGGATTTTGAACCTGCGACTCAAGGGTTGAACATTAACCCACTGAACTAACTAGCTTTTTAATTTTTTAAATTTCTAGCTTTATACTTATACATATAAAAGTTTATACACCTTAATACATAAATATTGCTGAATAACATATGTGTAAAATAAACTGCCGTATAAGTCTTATTACTTTTACTTCAGAATATACAAGTAATTCATGTCTTTTTGCATATTAGTTTGACATATCATTTAATTTAAATAGTAATGTTCATAGGTTTTGATTTATGTTTTGTATTTTACTTAAACCTATCTGCAATCATGCTGCAGAGTCATTGTAGCATTTGCAAGCAAAAGTCATAGCCTAGCATCCTGAAAATAATTGAATTTATGGATCAAAGATGGATCAAGCAAGTTGTAACAAATTTCATTTTGGGTCATAAACAAATGTCAAGGTAGAAAGAAATTATACATAATGTGGTCTTGTTTTAGGGTCAAATCACAGTAGATATAATGAACAAATGCAGCAGATACAACATTGTATTGACTGATACTCAGCAAAAAGATCTGTTTTTGACCTCTGAGGTCCGATAATTTGCAACTATTATTTTATAGTTTACACAGCACCAGAAACAGTTTTTTTTATGTTACTCAGGAAAGACAGACTTGAAACAAATTATTTTTAGATAAAGTGTTAGAAAATAAAAGGAAAAAGGGGCAAAACTCAGCCACACTCAAACTCCCCTACATGCACACACACACAAAACGCTTTAGACTCTGCAAACACAAAATTCCGCCATCTCTCACAAGCACACACAAGCACATTTAGACCCACTCCACATATAGTTATCAGACTCCTCCACATATATAACAGTGAGTCCCTACTCTCACACAGAACACTCAGTCTCTTCCACACACATACAACACTAAGCCACAACACACAACATTCATAGTAAAAGAACCCAGGGCTCTAGGAGGGTCTCCAGTCAGGCATCCTGCCTAGATACCTGCACAACGTTAATTTGGCACTGACTTAATGTCTATGGCAATGAACTTTTAAATGGATGTTTAAGGGCTGCTACAAGCTCTAAGTGAAGTGATTTTAGTATTTAGATCATGACCCTACAAACTCAATGATCAATTCTCTCTTATTTAGGAGTTACATTGTTTTGTTTATGAAGCCTTAGTCACACCTCCTGTTATTCATATAGAATCCATACACACTTCCTGAAAATTAACTCAAATATTTAGCTTCCCTGATTGCACCATGTGTTATTTGAGAACTTCTTTCCTCCTTCTCCTAGAGATTGTGTCTCAGCTAGAGGTAATGTGCCCAGAGTGGCAAAAACACAAGTTATTTAATGTCAGAGAAATGAGCAGTGATACTTCAGAGGCATGATCTATACACCAAAACGGCTTCATTAAGCATTGCTTTGGTACTTATACTATACCTTTAACAAAATGCTATTCCCTATTTATTTCTACCTATCTACCACTCACCCTCAAATGGAATTGATATTTGTATTACAGAAGTGTAAATTGCACTTGACCAATAAAACTGGAAAAGGTGTGCACTATGGGTGCTAGTAGAGCACAAAACTGTTAGCAAAATAGTTAGTGGTAACAAAGTAGTAGTAGTGTTTATGGTGCTTAGATTGCTCCACTAACTTACTAGTGATAAAAAAGGTAACTTTGTTAACTTGGAACACAGCAGCAAACTAATAAAGAGAGGGTCATGATGCAAGAACGTTTTGCACAAAGATGTCTAAAAGGTAGATTTTCAATTGTTGTGCAACTCTAAACGATGTTTTGCAAGCTGGGAAACAACCACTTGCCCATTCTTGCGTGGTTATATATCTGAGCAGTGTTTGTGTCTTTGAAAGGAAGCATGTTTTTTGTATGGAATGTATGTGTGTGAAGGAAGGGGTGTGTTTATATGTAGTGCTAACCTTTGAATGCAGGGGTGTGTTCAATGGCAGAACTACAGCTGGTGTAGTCGGTGCGACAGCACCGCACATCCTGTCACGTTCTCTTAGTGCTCTATCAAAGCCGGGGGAAGGACAAGCATATTTGTTGAGAAATTAAAATATCGTATCATTCAGTTTGAAGATCAAAAAGATTACTCTTCCCTTAGGGTTATGGTGACATTTTGTCATCAAACTAATATGGTGACCAGGGGTCATGTGACCAAGCTCATGTATGCCTTTCTTACAGGGGGATAAGCTTTACCCTTTGATATGGTGATTAGGTAATTCAATACCTTTACAAGTCAGGAAAGAGATAACCACTCCCCCCTACCTCCATTCCTTCCTGTTCCTTCTTGGCTTTGCTACTGAGCAGACACGTGAGCAGACATGGGCTAATTTGTATCATGGTGAACTGTGAGTGCGTTCTGGTGACTTTATAAGATTTAGTTGTTATTGTTCGTTAGGTAGATTGTTGTTGTTGTTGTTGGTATAGTTAGATTGTGTGTCATTATTTGTATGTTGTTGTTGTTTTGTCTCTGAATAAATATTTGTTAAAGTAGACGGACCAGAGTTTATATGTGTATGCGTACATAATTTATAGAGTTTGGTAATATACCACAAGGGTCACAATATTTATGTATTAATTCGTATTTAACATTTTTAGAAATGATAATGGCTACACCGCATTTTCTCTTATCCTTTAGAGATGC